TTGCGGTACTTATTTTCTTCATTTGAAGTATAACTTTGGCTTAAATCTTTAATTTATTTATGGAATTTGATATAACTATATGATTAGTTTTATTATAGTTTTTTTTTTGTAATTCATAATTTGATTGAAATGAATGATTTGTTAGCTATTATATCTCTGTTTAATGAATGAAGGTAGCTTTAACAATGATTACTTTTATTTTATTTATTTCTATTCGCTAGTTGTGACCTCTTAAATGAACGGGTCATGACATTGTTCTTTTCTTGATTTAGATAATAATGATAAGGTAGATATAGTTAGGCTAAAATAAAATTATTAAATAAATTATTATTAGTAATATAAAATAAAAGGATATAGAAATGATGTTAGAATTATATATTGTATCCTCAATATTTAGATTTAATTTTCTTTATTTGGTTTTATGTATAAAGGATAAAATATTTGTTTTTTAATGACTATATGAATTTTAGGACTGTTAAAAATATTTGTTTAAATTAAGAATGTGGTTATACATCTTTTTTTGAAACATTTAAAAATTAACTCAAGGATGCGGTGTTGCACATTGTCAAATAATATAATTAGCTTTTATTAATTTAAAGTAAAGACTTATAGATAAAAATATTAAGCGCGATGAAAAGAAGGCAGTCATGCCTCTAAATGTTAAGAAGAAGAATGCGGTTACACATCTAGGTTGAGACAAAATAAAAAGTTCAACAATAAAATAAATATGAGCAAATCATGGCCTGTAAAAATATATCCAAATATATTTAAAAGTAAGTATAAGTCAATTAAAGCGACCGTGCTGGAAGCACGGGACTCAAGGGATGCCTAATACCTTCCCCTCGGTCAACAGAATTCCTTACCCGAATTTCTAGTTCACAGACAAAAAATAAAGAGTCAGTTCCTTTTGGTTAGGGATTAAACAAAAAGGTGACTTGGAACACCATAACTCAATTCCAAGTGGCGACTCTGAAAAAGAAAATAATCCCTAATCAATACCGTCACTTTAATTAGAAAAACTCTTTCGCGTCCGCGAAAAAGATGTGTGATATCTCTGGCAACTCCGCTAGGGAATAACCAGAATTCGAGCTTTATTATATTGGCTTGTACTTAATTTTATTATTATTAATTTGGATATATTATGTATGATGACCTAATGTGCTAGTTTCTACTCCTTTATCGCTTTTATATTATTGAATGGTATTAAATTGTCTTCTCTTACTCAACCACTATGAGTCTCTAGTAACACATCACACACATTCACAGGAATGCATTTATGCATCCTACATTCTATTGAGATAAAGCTGGAGTGTCTTGACACCCAGTGAAGGATTTTTAGTCACACATGTTAGACGGGGTTGGATCAGTAATGAAGTCGAAAAAGCGCTGCTACTGTTAAGTTACCCCTCCCTGGCTTGAGTTGTCCACTCGGGTAAGCCAGTCTAGATACCTATCTCATTCATGTTTGAACCTAGTAACACTGAAATATAGACATGGTTTTCCCTAGAAGATTCCGCTTATTTTCATTATTATTTACAATTGACTTAGTGACTCAACATAGGGCCGAGTTCATGTAGGACACGAGTCCCTGTTTTTACCAACATGTGCATTTTATATGATATTTGTAAATATTATTAGTAAGATTTTTGCATATTGACCAATTTTAGGGTGATCAATGAAATGAAGGAAAAGTTGATATTTAATTTTTACGTTTAAAAAAAAAGAGTGAGAAAACACATTTTTAAAAAAAAAATTATTTTAGAAGCTCTTACGCATTACTTAAAACTAGAAATTTCAAAAAAAAAGATTTTTAACTTCTTAAAAAAATAGAGTTTCTTTTGTTGTTCTTAAATAGAAAATGAAAAAAAAAATCATAATACTTCGAAAAAATTTGTTAAGTCAATTTGCAATATCACAAATCAAAAATTTGTTTTAACTATCCAATCTGAACGAACTACGCACACCTGATTCTCAACTCGATGAGATCATATGCAACCCTCCTAGGGTTCGGTGATCCTTATTAAAAAAATAAATTAAAAAAGAAGTATTTCTTATTAAAAATAATGTTATGTTTATAATGTTCGTGAACTACGTTTGACCTGATTCTTGCTATGACAAGATACGTAGGCAACCTTATTTTGAGGTTCGATCCAACCAAGAAAAAATCTAAAAAGTCCTCATCACAAAAACTGGGGCAAAAAAAAATATTTTTTTAATTCATGGCTCAAATTAAAATGTTTCTCTTTCTTATTTATTTTTAAAAAAAATTGTTTAGGGTACAATATTTCTTTAAAAGGATTTTTATTTATTTATTATTTTTTTTTTAAAAAAATCTTGACTTGGTTGGTACCAACATATTTAGGAGTATGCATAAAGAAGAAGAAAAGTATAAAACTATTTGGCAAGACAAACCAACTTTGTTGTGACCTATAAACTTCTTTTGGTACCTCTTGATATATTTAAGTAATACTTCAGAAACACTTTTGCTTAAAGTTAAGGCTAATAAATTCAAACTCATGTTTCATGTGCATTGTGTGGTGAGCTTTAGATATAGCATTCAATGGCATTAATTTGTTGATCTAGAACTTGGCACGAATGTTGGTTGAGGAGAAATTTTGAGCAACATTTAATTTGGGAAAGGATTATAGGCTTTCTTTGATCCCATTGTGCCTTTTGAAGCCTACCAAATGACATGTTATCTATAAGACTCTCATTTCAAGCCTGAAGTCCTATTATTTGAATAACCACATCTTAGGATATATCCTTTTGAGTGTATAATTGCACTATCCCTTGGTCCCACCTCCCTGAGCGCACTATCAATTATCTATGCAGCGCCAAGAATCTAAGTTGGGTAACAAAGTGAAAAGGCCAAATATGCAAAAGTTAAAAATAATGACAAAAAAAAACCTAGAATGAAAAAATGAAAAAAATCTCCAACAAAAGGAGAGAAAATGAGAAAAAAAATAATAATTAGAAAATAAATGAGGAGACGCTTTCAAGAAAACAAAGGTCAAATGCCAAAATGAAAAAAATATTGAGAGCATTGTGCAAAATTTAAGGAGGAAATAGTCACCTTATCCCAAATGAATATCCAACCTTTCCCTAAGCCTACTTTGCAAGCCAATGGCAAGTCCTATTTGATCTCATTTTTTGTGTTCTCACATTAGTGGATACTTACATAAGGGCCAAACATATGATAGCTCAATCTCATGCATTAAATATTTTTCTGAGTGCGAGTGACTTTCAAAAATGTCCTATGATCTAAATTATTCTATAGTGTGTGGAAAATGACTTTATTTGTTGTAAGGGCACTTGAAACATGAGGATATTTATAGTTCTAATCACTTAATTTAGACAAGATAAAATGATCTTGTAAATACTTAAGTATATTGGAGATACCATTTGAAATTATAGGAATTACTCAAAGTTGACCTCAAATTTGCCTGGAAGTAGTTGAAGGTGATTCATATGCATAATATTAATTGTTGGTACCACCTAAAGTCAAAACATTGTCAATGATTCATTTCTCAAAAGATGTCTTTTGTAGGAAAAATCATGAAAAAGAAAAATATTTTTGATTTTTATGAACTACGTTTGACCTGATTCTTGATATACAAGATACGTAGGAAGTCTTACAATAGGGCTCGGTCTTACAGAATAAATTTCTATATCCGTGAAGGAATGACATTGGATATATATAAAAAAAAATTAAAATCAGAAAAATGATTAAATAAAAAGAGTTTCAAAGTTCCTCATTTTAAAAATTGGGGTCTATTTTTATTTTTTAAAAATATCACTATCATTACTAGGGAACAAACACCCTAGTTTCATTTTGACCTTAGGGAATAACCACCCTAGAGGCACCATCTTTCATTTCTAAGGAGCAAACACCCTAGTTGCATTTTGACCTTAGGGAGGAAATCACCCTAGAGGCACCGTCTTTCATTTCTAAGGAGCAAGCACCCTAGTTGCATTTTGACCTTAGGGAGCAAACACTCTAGAGGCACCGTCTTTCATTTCTAGGGAACAAACACCCTTGTTGCAGTTTGACCTTAGAGAACAAACACCCTATAGGAATTTTAGGGAGCAAATACCCTATCATCTTTCATTTCTAGGGAACAAACACCCTAATTGCATCCGTGTCTTTCAATTTTCTTTTGGTATAAGTATTTCTCATTTTTACTAATAGCTTAAATAATATTTTTCTAGTGCAAACTGGGGCAAAAAAAATAATGTTGTGGTGATTCTCTTTGATTATTCAGTTAAGCGAGATCTTTCTAAGTAATATGATTAGTATAGTAGGACCCTCCTAAATAATGGGATGTAGTAAAGCAAGGACCCTCATGAATAATGGGATGTAGTATAGAAAGGACCCTCATTAATAATTGGACGTAGTATAGCAAGGACTCTCCTGAATAATGGGACGTAGTATAACAAGGACCCTCCTACATAACGTGATTTAATTTAGCATGACCCTCCAACATAATGAGATTAGATTAGTAGGACCCATAATGGGATTTAGTTTAGCAGGACCCTCCTACATAATGGGATTTTAGTTTAGCAGGACCCTCTTACATAATGGGATTAGCAGGACCCTCCTGGACAATGGGATTAGAAGGACCCTCCTCATAATGGGATTAGCAGGACCCTCATACTTAATGAGATTTAGTTTAGCAGAACCCTCCTACATAATAGATTTAGCAGGACCCTCTTACATAATAGGATTTAGTGTAGCAGGACCCTCCTGGACAATGAGAATTAGTATA